ACAACACACTATTATGGTACAAAATGAAAGAAATTATATAAGCTGGAAGATAGAGGAAGCCTTGATAATTCAATCAAACAAATGCATGAACAAAGAATGGAACTAAGTTGGCACTGGAATGCAGTTATGAAGAAATATTTACTGTCGAGACTAACACCTTTACACAGTGAAGTTTGTACCTGACTACTTATGTATACGGTAAAATTCTGTTTTATATTAAATCTCTCCCTGAAGACGAATCGCGCATGATCTGAAACGTTCCAGAATATGTATACAATAAATTCGACATGCGGTATCATCCTGTAAAGAGCATTTCGAATTTTGAACTGAATTGCCGCATGAAAGACTTCACTTCCCTTCCGCTTTTAATTACTGATTTACTATAACACGTTGCGCTGCTCTCGCTGCTGTCCGAACGACAGCACGCCGTCAGAATTCCGTTGTACGTCACTCAGTACTCAGCGCTTACTTTAACCACAGATGACCGACGTCCACCACGGGCAATTGCTGCGGGGTCCAGCTTTATGAGATTGACAGGTCTAAGAAAATATTCGTTTCAGGTGACAGTGACGTGAATGTCAAAAAATGATAGTAAACATAACGACAGAATTACTTGAGAATTTCGCACGCACTGCCAGCCGTGCGAGCCTTTGGAAAAAGCAACGAAAGTGCGTCAGCCGACGAACTCGTGAAGAGGTAGTAATGACTGCTCGTACTGCCGTCGTTCTCCTGCTTGAATTCAAGAATCTACAAATAAGTTGTACCTCGTCATCAACCTTTGCGTGGAGCCGTTCGTTCATCGAGTGGACTGATATACCATGTAAAAGCCGTCGTAGCGCAGGAATCGAAGGAAAAGGTGATGACCCGACACAACTTTAGCGATGAACGGCTCGGTGACGATCGGCAGGCTGTCAGTAATACGGAATGGCAGGAAACTGGCCATTCGTCCACACCTGCTCATTACGATAAGTGTCCTACAAAGTAATATTACCGATCACAAGGGTAGCCAAATGATTCATCTCAAGCAAATTGGAGGAACAAAACTTCTGGGAACGCTCAGTATAGGAGAGAACATTAAAATTCACATGATGAAACTCATCAGT